TTATAATTATTGACCTGCATGCTTTTTCTTTACCCCAACTCATTCCTTACATGTAAGTTCAATTTTTTTCAGTATTGGGTTACTGGTTCCACAAAAGCCAGAGAAACAACTTTGTAGTAATCAGAATGTTACCCAACTGTATATTGTTTACTTTATTGTAAATAATGGTGAACAGTGGTCAATAAATAGTTTTATATTCCTTTATGTGATGAGACTTTTTATATTACCTGATTTTTTTTTTATAATGAGCAGGAAAACATCCTAACAGTTACTGAGTTTATACAGAGATGGTTCCTACTGGGAAAATAAAAATTGGTTTTATGTGATTCCCTAAGAGATACTTGCCTCATTAGAACGAAGTTTTGATACTTAAGAATCTGCTGTCATATACTTGTTCCCCCCTGCTTCTTACATATAAGTGGGGGGGGTGTTTGTTTTTTAATTGTTTGTGGGGTTTGAACTCAGGGCCTGAACGCTGTCCCTGGATGCCTGTCCCTCTTTGTGCTCAAGGCTAGTGCTCTACCACTTGAGCCACAGTGCCACTTCAGTTTTTGAGTGGTTAATTGGAGATGAGTCTCAGGGCCACTTTTCTGCCTGGGTTGGCTTTGAACTGTGATCCTTTGACCTCAGCCTCTTGAGTAGCTAGGTTTACAGGTGTGAGTCACAAGAGCCCAGCTTATAAGTGCATTTTTAATTTTGTATGTGTGTATACACAATTGTGCCACTCTTGAGCTCAGCCTCAGCACTGCCCCTGAGCTTTTTTCTCTCCAGAATAATGCTCTATTATTTGAACCACAGTTGTGCTTCCAAAGTTCTAATAGCAAAATTCTTTATCCTGTGGATGGTCCTGAAGTAGAAATTAATTTGGTAGGTTCAGTGGAAATTACCTCCCTGAAGCATTTGACACATTTTCTTTTTTTTTTTTTGGGGTCCGGTAGTGGGGCCTGAACACTGGGCACTGTCCCTCAGCTCTTCAGCTCAAGGCCACAGCGCCACTTCCGGCTTTTTTTCTTTTTGCTTATGTGGTGCTGAGGAATCAAACCCAGGGCCTTGAGCATGCAAGGCAAGTGCTTTACCACTGAGCCACCTTCCCAGCCCATTTGACACATTTTCTAACAATGTAGGAATCAGCCAATAATTTTTCCATATGAGCCCATTTTTATAAAGATAACTTTGTTGGTGTTTTTTGTTGGTTTTTGCTGGTCCTAGGGCTTGAACTCAGGGCCTGGGCAATGTCCCTAGCTTTTTTGCTCTGCCACTTGCCGCAGTGCCACTTCTGGCTTTTTCTGAGTAGCTTATTGAGTCTCATGGCCTTCCCTACCTGCGCTGGCTTTGAATCATGATCCTCAGATTTCAGCCTCCTGAGTGCTTAGGATTACAAATATGAGCCAGGGATGCCTGGCCATAAATAATTATACAGAGGAGTTACACAGTTAGATAAGAAAAGAATACTTTTTCCCCCCCAGAATAACTATTGAGACGGTTTTTTTTCGTTACAAAGATAATGTACAGAGGGGTTACAGTTCCATAAGTCAGGTAGAGTACATTTCTTTTTGGACATGTAAGACACTTAGAACAGCTCTTTGTATATAGCAATAGAGGTATGGGTTTGGGGTTTTGGGTTTACTGGGTGTTTTTTTTTTGGGGGGGGAGGTTAATGCCAGTACAGGGTCTTGAACTCAGGGCCTAGGAGCTCTTGCTTGGCTTCTGCTCAAGGCTAATGCTCTGTTACTTGAGCCGACACCTCCATTCTGGCTTTTTGTTACTTAAATGAAGATAAGAGTCAAGAGTTTTATGCCTGGTCTGGCTTCAAACTTTGATACTCAGATCCCAGCTTCCTGAGTAGCTAGGATAACAGGCATTGGCTATAGCACCAGGCTTTGAAGTATATTTTATTTTTTAATCTCTTAGTGTAGAGTAGAGATAATGAGTACTTGGTGTATTTTAAAGTTTTTGCTATTGGATAAATGTGACCACTGTTCTGTAAGGTGCCACTGGGTAGATGTAGATGAACTCAGTCTTTAGTGAAAGTTGTGCACTGATTTACACTTCTATCAATCAATCATCTTTACTTTCACTTCTCATATCTTCATTAGTACTACAAATTAATAACCTAAGTCTTACAAATTTTTTCAACTGGTATATTGCCTTTATGTGCATGTCTAATTTTGTTGTTTGTTTCCTGGTCATAGGGTTTGAACTCAGTTTCACACTTGCTAGGCAGCCTCTCACTTGAGCCCCACCTCCAGCACTTTATGCTTTTCAAAGATTTCTTCAAGTATGTGTTTTTTGCTTATCTGGGATCATAGGAATAGGATCACCATAGCCAGCTTGTTGATTAAGAGGACTTTTTTGCCCAGGCTAGCCTCAACTTGGGAATCTACCAACTGTTTCCTGCATATTTGTTCTAGAAGCTTGTGCTACCAACTGCATATCTGTTCATTGTTTCTCCAGTGTTAGGTTTTTAAAAAGAGGTAGCTGAGTAATAACCACACCACGCACGTGGTATTCAGGTAAGTGGTAGGTAGATTTATTGATTGTTCTGGCTGGCACCAGGCCATGCTGACCCTCCAAGAGACTGGGAAAGACCTGGAAAAAGAGCGTCTGGGCCTGGGCTAGTCCTTATCTAGGGTATGGGTGAAGAAAGGTGTGGCCACAGCAGATGCAGATGTGACTTCTTCCAGGTGTGCCAGTTGCCTAGGTAATGCAGGTACTGGGCGGAGACTTTGCTGCAAGAAGGGTGGAGTCTGCTCACCATCCAGGAGCGGACCATAAACCCAGTACTAGGTTCTGAACTCAGGTCCACTTGTTTAGCTTGCTTGTCATCTGGTACTGCACCACTTGAACAACTTTTTGCTGGCTAATTAAACAGAGCTTATAAGACTTTCTGCACAGGCTGGCTTTGAACCACAATCTTCGAATCTCAAGTAGCTAGGATTTACAGATAACAGTCACCAACACCCAACTGTGCTTTGCTTTTTTTTGTCGGTCATGGGGCTTGAACTATGGGCCTGGGCGTTGTCCCTCCCCTCTTCAGCTCAAGGCTAGTGCTCTACCACTTGAGCCACAGTGCACTTCCAGTTTTGTGAGTGGTTTATTGGAGATAAGAGTCTCACCAACTTTCCTACCCAGGCTGGCTTTGAACTGCAATCCTCAGAGTAGCCTCCTGAGTAGCTAGGATTACAGGCATGAGCCACCAGCAAAACAGCAGATACCCCTTATTTATAGGCAAGCATCATGGGTTTTGGTAACTGGGCATGATAACATGCTACAAGATTAGATCTTAAGTATTCTCACTACAAAAAATAAGGTGGTACGATTATGAGGTAATGTATATCTTAATAATTAATTTTAAAGTTCTTAATTGACAGATACAATACAAGGCCTATGTGTGGTAAAGAATATAGACAGTGGTAGAAAAGAATAAAAGTCAAGGAAAGTACAGTAGTCCTAGGTAATGGTTGCAACATTCAGAATGAAGAATACACAGGTTTGTGTTACATGTCTTTGCCACACCATTCTTACACATATGACTATATTCCAGAAGGCTAATGTTAGAGCATATTAGACTTTGCCAGAAAACCATGCCGACATCCAGGTACAAAGAACAAAGAAAAGATTTATTGCCAGGAAAGGGACCGACAAGAAAGAAGAGTGAGAAGTGCTGGCTATTGTCTGAGGTGACCCATGTAACCTACTGAGACTAGGAGGGGCTAGAAGTGACTAGAAGGTGGAGACCCTGGTATGTAAACATGTGGGCCAGGGGCTTCATCATGGCAGACTAGCATTTATGGCTGCTGCCCACATAGTAGATAAAGGGCTTAGCTTCCCAGACCTGAAGGGGCTCTTGTTTTCTTATATGGTGGTAGCTGCCCCAGAGGAGTGCCATCTCAAGGTAAAGGAGGGTTGGAGGTTGATTATTTACTACCTTTACTAAATGGGCCTAGTATTGCCTAGGAAAGGAGCATGCTAAGCTGTGGAAAGGGGAAGGAGAGTGCTAAGCTATCAGAAAGGAGCTTATCGGCTTACATTCCCCACTCTCTGGTTTAATAATTGAATGAGAGCATCAGGTCAGGAGTATGGGCGAAGGTCCTTTTTTCTGGAGCTGCTTCCTGCTGAGAAGGGTGCGATGTAGTCATTGGGGAACACTCAACCAGGTACTCTCCTAGGAACATTTGATTGACTGGCCAATTAGTGATGTCTCCTCTTTCTCATGAGGATATTC